CGCTCTGATAGCCTCCACGACTTCGTGTTCGTCCATGTTGGTAGTAAGCGCTGCGTTGTCCTTGTCGGTAACTCGTCTCTCGGATGGTACCGTGGCGAACTCATCTAGTCTGCGTTTTAGATCATCTAACGGGACCGTACGGTGGCTCCGTCCTTGGATGTCATTCCACTCTTGAGCAAACTTGTCTGCTATGGTGGACCTGGGTGCGAACTCAGTCCCAGGAGATGGTAGTATGCTGTTAACCGTTTGGTCACGTTCCCACACAGACACCCGGCGAAACCTCCTTCGTACACTGGCATGCGACCGTTGTAGTGCGTGCCCTGTGTTGAGTTCCTTGCTTACTTTCGCCTCGTCACCGTCGCGGACGGTTGGTCTCCCTTAAGCACATTAATATCTTGATGCTGCTTCGTGGTTGGGGTGACGAAGACACTGGATGAAGTGAATCAAGTGAATACCAGTTTATCATGGTGGACGACAACGCCATGCTGCAGGGTGCACTTCAAGCACTGCACGACGACGACAGCTTGGATCCAAACCGCAGACTTGAAGGAGCAACACGAGGTTTTCAGTATCATTTCGCTGCCTGCCAATTTTTGATTGGCCACTGAAGGTCGCAACTTCAATGTGTGATTGCAGTCGTGACGTTGTGGTGAAAGTTTCACCGCGGAAGCATGGATACAGTATCGGTAGCTTCCCCTCTTGGTCACAGCGAGAATTCCTCATAAAGCGGTGGTCGTTCGTTGCCACTGGGAAGTTGCCAACTGCATGGAAGTCAGACGTTGTGCCTCATCTCACGCTACGCAAGTCGGAATCGTTGTATTATCGTTGGATATTCCGAACCGCGCTGCAGCACGTAGCCGCAATTGCAACCTCTGCTGCATTATTCGTTATCTGATAGCCTTGACGTTGCATGTATCGATCAATCTACAACAGCTACTTCCCTGTTAGCGCCGTTCCCTGTGGGAATGCTCCATATTGCGCGAACGGCACCTTAAAAGGGTTTCTAGTCCGTTCATCACTAAGGTGGAGATGTAGCTCTCAGTAGTGTGAATTCTTTTGCGGAATTCGCCGCCATTGGTGTTGATCGCGCGGTACAATTTTGGTTTGGGCTTGTGTTGCTACATAATATGTATTATACACATATTATGTGTATTGGAACGATTCCGTATCCTAACATCCGACAGATTGCTTACCTAAAAGCTCGCGTATAAACCTCGTCCAGTCCGGAGGTCGGACCGGCAAGTTGGTATCGAGATGCCTTACATGTAGTTCGATACAGATCTAAGTGTGCATTGAAATTGAAGCAGTTAGGCACTTATCGCAGTATAAACTATGCGATAGCGATAGCCAAAAGTGGCGGTGATGCTAACCATGAATACAGCGTCGTTCCGGCAGCGCAACAAATCTTAGTTCTACACGGTGCGTAATGTGAATCCGTGGCCGACATATCTTGTCTCACTACGAGTTTTTAGCTTGTACACTATCCTGCAGGACTGTCTACCTCTCTGATATTTTATTTTGCGCCAAGCCACGATCACCATATAGCCCCAGTCGGTAGCGGAGCAGCTCACATGTCTTTCCTTAGTATAAGTTTATCAATCGTAGCGAGCTCAAATAAAAATGTACCAGCCCTCGTCACAGAGTGTGTAGTTGAAGTCAATACGGCCACCAATGTCGATCACTAATTGCAGTTTGACTTGAAAGCGCAGCACTTGCTCAGCTCGTTTTGGCTTGGAGGCCATCCTTTGGCTTGGAGGCCATCCTTCTTCATATACCAACAAATGACAACAACCAGACCCCACTGACGTCCCAGGGTCGGAGTTCTCTCGCAGTCTCAACATATAGTCGTTCTTGTAGATAGCCGTCTAAACCGCAACAAATTCAAAATTCAAATATGGTAGTTCTTGTATGATTTATTTGGACACATCTCTATTAGCATGCAGCATTTTGCCATGTCGATCATGCCGCGCGAGGCACAAACTTTCGTTATATCTGGTTGGCAAGTTTCCTGTCGGTCATTTGAAGCCATTTTTACCACCTACTTCGAAGTACATTGATTGTTTGCCCAGTCTATTGCGACAGCGGTAGATGCCTCTACTGCATTGCGATCGCGCCCTTTCCTAAGTGGCGTCGGCCACGGATTCACATTACGCACCGTGTAGAACTAAGATTTGTTGCGCTGCCGGAACGACGCTGTATTCATGGTTAGCATCACCGCCACTTTTGGCTATCGCTATCGCATAGTTTATACTGCGATAAGTGCCTAACTGCTTCAATTTCGATGCACACTTAGATCTGTATCGAACTACATGTAAGACATCTCGATACCAACTTGCCGGTCCGACCTCCGGACTGGACGAGGTTTATACGCGAGCTTTTAGGTAAGCAATCTGTCGGATGTTAGGATACGGAATCGTTCCAATACACATAATATGTGTATAATACATATTATGTAGCAACACAAGCCCAAACCAAAATTGTACCGCGCGATCAACACCAATGGCGGCGAATTCCGCAAAAGAATTCACACTACTGAGAGCTACATCTCCACCTTAGTGATGAACGGACTAGAAACCCTTTTAAGGTGCCGTTCGCGCAATATGGAGCATTCCCACAGGGAACGGCGCTAACAGGGAAGTAGCTGTTGTAGATTGATCGATACATGCAACGTCAAGGCTATCAGATAACGAATAATGCAGCAGAGGTTGCAATTGCGGCTACGTGCTGCAGCGCGGTTCGGAATATCCAACGATAATACAACGATTCCGACTTGCGTAGCGTGAGATGAGGCACAACGTCTGACTTCCATGCAGTTGGCAACTTCCCAGTGGCAACGAACGACCACCGCTTTATGAGGAATTCTCGCTGTGACCAAGAGGGGAAGCTACCGATACTGTATCCATGCTTCCGCGGTGAAACTTTCACCACAACGTCACGACTGCAATCACACATTGAAGTTGCGACCTTCAGTGGCCAATCAAAAATTGGCAGGCAGCGAAATGATACTGAAAACCTCGTGTTGCTCCTTTCAGTCTGCGGTTTGGATCCAAGCTGTCGTCGTCGTGCAGTGCTTGAAGTGCACCCTGCAGCATGGCGTTGTCGTCCACCATGATAAACTGGTATTCACATTGATTCACTTCATCCAGTGTCTTCGTCACCCCAACCACGAAGCAGCATCAAGATATTAATGTGCTTAAGGGAGACCAACCGTCCGCGACGGTGACGAGGCGAAAGTAAGCAAGGAACTCAACACAGGGCACGCACTACAACGGTCGCATGCCAGTGTACGAAGGAGGTTTCGCCGGGTGTCTGTGTGGGAACGTGACCAAACGGTTAACAGCATACTACCATCTCCTGGGACTGAGTTCGCACCCAGGTCCACCATAGCAGACAAGTTTGCTCAAGAGTGGAATGACATCCAAGGACGGAGCCACCGTACGGTCCCGTTAGATGATCTAAAACGCAGACTAGATGAGTTCGCCACGGTACCATCCGAGAGACGAGTTACCGACAAGGACAACGCAGCGCTTACTACCAACATGGACGAACACGAAGTCGTGGAGGCTATCAGAGCGCTGAATAGAGAAAAAGCGGCAGGACCAGATGGACTGAACAACGACTTTTACAAGGATATGGAAGACGTAATGGCGCCGATCCTGACGAGAGTAGGAAATTCGATCCTTCGAGGCGAGCGTCCACCTCAGACTTTTTTGAGGGGTCTGATAATTCCGTTGAGGAAAAAGGGTGACTCGACGAGCGCTATGGATTACCGGCCGATAACTCTATTGCAAACCAGCTACAAGATTGTGGCTAAGGTGTTGGCAACAAGACTACAAATGTTTCTAGGGCGATTAATTGGAGACTCGCAACAAGGCTTTGTACATGGGAGGAATATGAACAAGACGGTAATGATGATGTTAGCTCACTTAAAAAGTGCGGTGGCGGACCCATTAGCAGACTTAGAAGACAGCGCCGGCATATTACTGCTGGACTTCAAGAAGGCCTACGATACGCTCGATCGTGAATTCATGTTTGCAGTATTAAGCAAGTTCGGCTTTTGTAGTGAATTTGTGGAAGTGATGCGGAACCTACACGCTGGGACAACAGCTAGATTTATGGTCAATGGAGAGCTATCGGATCAGAGCCCGATAGAATCTGGTATCAGGCAGGGGTGCCCGCTGGCACCTTTGCTTTTCATTTTAGCTGCTGAGATCCTTGGGCTAGCGCTGGCACAAGAATCGCAAATTGCGGGTGTAGCAGTGCCGGGTGACAAGGAGCGGCGAGAGCACTTGTTCTCTGCGTTTGTCGACGACTCGACCGTTTTTATGCAAAAGGCAAAGCAACTGCCGCGTGTGCTCAAGGTAGTCCGGAGGTTTGGTGAGTTATCGGGGCTCCGAGTGCAGCCGGCGAAAAGCGTGTTTATAAGTTTGAACATCGCCGTCGAGTACAGAAAGACGATTTTGGGTATCCCAGTTCTCAGACATGGAGAGACGACCCGGTATCTGGGGTATCAAGTAGGGACTGCGGAGATGCGCGATGTGAATTGGGCAGATCGAATTCGCAAAATACAAAGACGTTTGGCCACCGCGTGCAGGGTAGCTACCTCGGTAGAAGACAGAGTGGCAATACTAAATGCGATGGTGCTACCAGCCGTGACTTTCACTTCTGCAGCGTTCCAACTACCAAAGTGGGCGGAGAAAAAACTTCAGTGCCTTCAGAAAAAATTTCTTTGGCAAGCGCACGTGGAAACGAGTGGAGCAAAACACAAGATTAACCCTGGGTTAGTGTTTCTACCAAGAAAGGCAGGAGGAATCGGCTTGGTGTCTATCCCGTTAGCGGTGAAAACACAGCAAGCGAAACATGCATTGCTATGGCTGACTCAAAAACCCGATCTTTACCTGCAAGCCTGGAAGTTCTGGGTACTCAAGGCCCCGAACAAGTCGGTCTCGCCAAGAACGTCAAATGCAAAAAATCAGCGAGTAGAGCCAGGAATGCAGTTCATCGGTGAATGGCTCCAGCCAGCGGACGAAGAAGTAAAGCAACGAGAAGAAATAGTGGAGACCAATTACGCAGCAATCCTAGAGGCGAGCACTAGTTGGTAGGATACTGATGGCAGGTTCGTGATTCAGCTGAATTATGAGGTAGAGCCCTCGCGGCTAGGGAAGTGATAACCCATGGTTGACAGCACCATCTAGATTTCTGTTAAGCGGGAGAAGATTTTCACGGATAAGGGATGGTACTCTCGATCAACTTGAACCTCGAAAAGAAGCTGAAGGGCGTTTTTCGTTTAGCGTCGCGCAGGAATCAAATGAAGGGCGTCGGCACCGTCACAGAACCATGTGCAAGTGGGCGATTATAGTAATCTTACTATCTCCGAGAGATTGGCTAGAAGGTCGGCTCGATCCACCATTCAAATTAAGGCACCCGCCGCAATGGCTACGCAATGTGTCGTGGCGACTAGGGCCAAAACGGGGAATCTCTCAGGCGCAGCAACCTCACAAGGCACGGCGAGCTGGCAACTCAATTGCAGGCAACTACCCAACGGCATCAACTGGGAGATAGAAGTGGAGAATTGCACAGAAGAAACTACGCAGACTTTACAGAAGTGGGCCCAAGTTGAAGGCGTAGTATTTTACGCACATCCGAGCCTCCATCAGTATCCTTGGACTGTGGAGGAGAGAATCAAGAACAAACATGTATCAAAGGGGCTCAAACGACAAGCCTTCGAACGATTTCGGACAGAATTGCGAGGCGGTATTGGCGTGGTCATAGAGAGACTGGAGACGCAGGCGAAACAAGACCAGTGGCAATGTGGGCTTCAGCAACAACGACCCAAGCAGTTATGGAGCCATGACCATTCCCTAACTCCCTACCAAGTGTGGACGGTGTACAGAATGACCCTCAGACAGCTAAACCTGTTCTTTGAAGGGAGACAACACAGCAATCCATGCAGGAAAACAAGCGCGTGTACCCAAGAAAAGGAAACCCAGAGTCACATTTTCTGGGAATGTCCGTGCGCGGTGGCATGCTGGAAATGGCTAGCTAGATACTGGGGTGGCGCTGACGTGACCGACAGTGGCCTCCTCGGGTACCGAGAGTACTGTGCAGCACGGCAAGCTCCCCCGATCCCGGACTCACTGAAGAGGAGAGTGGCCCTCACGGCGGGGTCTTGCACGGCCAAGCATGAAGACACATTGAAACGTCTTTGGAGAATTTTAGCTACCGTTTGCAGCACAACGCAATGGATGGTGCGCAACAGGCTCATCTTTGAAGGAGAACCAACATCGGTAGAGCAAAGTTGCGTGAGTTCCGGGTGACGGGAGTTCGTCAGTTGAAGGTAATTGCAAGGAGGGACAAGATGAGTCCACAAACGGTTGAACAAGGCAAGTTGATGGAGGACTGTATCGACAGTTTTCTATTAATCCTTGAACAACCAGGACAAGTACGGGTAAGCAGCATGCAGCTACCATGAGAATCGCCATTAGTGGTGATGATGAAATCTTCTTTAGGATTTTAATGGCTATCATAGTCCAAATAAAATCTCTTCTACTACTGCTACCAACCGTCCGCGGCCGTATGGCTCCACCGAATGCTACCAACACGAACCCTGCTCTCGATCTGAAGTCACAATTGGGGCAGCAGAAAAACACACTCGTTTGTATCCTCGATTGTATCAAGTTGCTGCACCAAATGGCAGCGGCAAGGGGAGACATTCAGCCATGTGGAAGGACGACAAACCGACTACGCCTGGAAATGGCGGTGCAGTTTGTGGTATCCTAGCTCACGCAATGTGCATTTTGTGTTAACAGATGACCCCGAGATTCAACGTAAGTCGCATATCTTTGTGAAGTACACTTGAGCCGTTCCACCTCGACGGGCTCACCAGATCGATAGGCGGGCTCTCAGCACCGCACCGACCGAAGCTCCGTACAGTTCTGTACCTCAACGCGAAGCCTGCCTTGGCTATTGCTCCGTCAGTTCATTGTTTGTTTTGCCTTCTAGTGCAACAGCAGCAGCAACCACAGCAACACCACTCGCTGTCCTAAGCTACACCAACCAAGCACCCATGGCCGACAGTGCTGACTACGCGGTGGCCAACTCCCCCGGCAAGGGCGCCGCGAACACCTTCGACGAGGCCAACAAGGCCGCCGCGCGCCTCATCAAGCCCAACGCCATCCTGTACACGAGCGCGCTGCTGTCGTGGCTCCAGCCCTTCCAGAGCGGTTGGTCCACCTCGCAGATGAACCTGTCGCAGTACAACGACACGGACCAGTGCAATGCGCGCCCCGTGGCCGAGGGTACGTGCCTCATGTTCCCGGGCCACACCAAGCTCGAGTGGACGTTCGCCGTGAACGCGTGGATCTTCGGCGCCATGGTGGGCTCGCTGTGCTGCGGCCACTTCAGCGACAAGTACGGCCGCAAGAAGACGCTCATGGGCAACTGCATCTTCATCATCGTGGGCGGCGTCGTGCAGACCGTCGTGTCCAACATTTGGATCTTCTCGATCGGCCGCCTCATCGCCGGCCTCGCCTCGGGCACGGCCACCGCCACCATCGGCAGCTACGTGAACGAGCTGTCGCCGCCGCACATGCGCAACACGCTGGGCCTGGGGCTGCAGATCTTCACGACCATCGGCATCTTGTTCCCGGCCATCGCCTTCTTCTTCGCCAACACGAGCTCCGGCTGGCGCTACCTGGCGGCCTTTCCCGTCATTCTGGGCGCCGTCTACCTGCTGCTGGCGCCGACCATGTGCGTGGAGAGTCCGGCGTGGCTGCTCACGCAGGGCCGCACCGACGAGGCCAAGCAGGTCATCGCGCGGCTCTACGGCGAGGAGCACGTGCAGACGGCACTGTCGTGGCTCGAGGTGAGCAAGAAGCCCGAGACGGCCGAGGCCGGGCTCGCGGCGCCCCAGAAGGAGTCCATGTTCAACCCGCGCTACCGCCTGCAGCTGCTGGGCGGCATCCTGCTCTCGTGCTCGCAGCAGCTCTCGGGCATCAACGCCGTCTTCTACTACTCGGGCAGCATCTTCTCGGACGCGGGCATCTCGGACTCGCGCGTGGGCACGCTCATCATCGACTTCATCAACATCTTTCCCGCCTTCTTCACGGGCGTGCTGGCCAACCGCTTCGGCGCGCGCATCATGATCCTCTGGGGCCTGGCGGGCATGGTGGTCATGTCCATCGGTATGACGGTGGCCTTCATCGTGGACGTGTCGGCGCTCTCCATCGTGTTCACGGCGCTGTACGTGATCGTGTTCGGCGTGACGCTCGGGCCGCTCGTGTGGGTCATGACGGCCGACATCTTCCCGGACTCGATCCGCGCCAGCGCGTCGTCGCTCTGCATCGGCATCAACTGGCTCTGCAACCTCATCGTGGGCGTGTCGTACCCGTACATCTCGGACGCGCTCAACGACTACGCGTACGTGCCGTTCGTGGTACTGCTGGCGATCTTCTACCTGCTGGCGCTCAACCTCGTGCCGGAGACGTCGGGCAAGTCGGCCGAGGAGATCCAGGCCGAGTACGACTCACGCCGCGAGAAGTAAGGTGCAGTAGCGAGTAAGAGGTGGTTTTTGCCTTTCGTGTGAATAGATTTCTCTTGTACTACTACGGATTGGCCTTCTTCTTCTCATTTGTTGGTGTTGCACGTGATGGGCGCTGCGGATTGGTCAACCAAAGGTCGCAACTTCAACTTGGAGCATAGCAAACCCAACATGTTTAACACCAGGTACATGCAATTTGAGTTGCAGGTTTGTTGCAAGGAAACTCTATCCACCAGTTCATGGTTTGCCACGTCAGTAGTGGAACGCTCTGCATGAAACTATATGTCCTGAAGCCCTGGCGCAATGAAGTCCGCGCCGCACCGTTTACCGCGTCTTCGCAGCCACTTTCGGAGTTAACCATGGTCCGGTACATGTAGTTGCGGAGAAGCGTATCCACTAATAAAGTCGCGCCTGGCACGAGGTGCGTCCCGAAACGCACCATTGTCTCAATCAAGTGTAGTGATCTACGCCAATGGCTGGATGATTGTGCAGAAGATAGCAGATAAAACTTTTCCGGGTTGGTCCACCGCATAAACGGACTGAAGACCTGCGAACGACGAATCAACTTTGAGCATAGCATGGTTGTTTTCTTTTTTAACATGTAAAGCAATATGAAAGAGAATATTGAATCTTTAAGTTAAAACCATAAAGTTAAAAATTTAGTTTTATTTCATTTTTTATATATTCTCTTTGTTATATCAAATAAAATGTAAAACATATATATTAAATTATTTTAATATTTTCTTTGTATACCTCCTAAAAACAACTATTATGATCGGCAACTCCGAATGTCTAATCAAATAGTAAATCAGTCAAGTTTTGTCTAATTTAGACTTCAAAATCTTCTTTATTTCGACTGATCTCCTAATTTGATCTCCTAATTAGATTCCCCACCTCTATTTTAGACTACCGTCTTACCCCGATCCAGACGCCTAGGCGTTCAAATAAAATAGAACGCCTACTGGGCGGTCTATTCGAATTCAACGCCTAGGCGTTTTAATAGTGTGAAAAACTGAAAGTCTGAAGAATGCGAAGGCTCTGACCCCCCCCCCCCCCCTCCAAGCATCAGCCAACTGACACAAATCATTTTACAAAATAAATCACTGAAGGAATCAATTCCACCAAACCATTTCATGTATCATCAGTTTTGGATCCTGTGTTCGTTTCTCTGTTCCTCGCGAGAAAGACAAGTGCTCGTGTCTTCGATGGACCCTGCTCATATGTCGATCTACCTCCCCAGAATCAAGCTGGCGCGCTCGTTAGCTCTTTAGTCGCCACGGCCATCGTCGCGTTGGTTGCCTACTTATACTCGAGCTCTTCCAGCCTCCGCCAGCTAAACGGCATCGCTGTCCCCGCCTCGGAGCTTCCACGGCATAACGGGCAACGCTATCAATGGCCGCAACATCCAGGCCAACCTCACCGCTGAAGGCCGCGTCTTCGTGGGGCTCAGCTTCTGCGAGGACGAGTGCTCGATCCAGTCGGTGACTCGTCGTCCCACCGACTGGATCAGATCCCGTTGGCCATCGCCCAGATCCGCAGCATCGTGCAGAACGACCCGCGCTTCGACGACGGCTACCACTTCGTGGGCCACTCGCAGGGCGGCGGGCTAGCCCGTGCCGTGGTGGAGAATATGGACGACCACAAGGTGCACTCGCTCGTGAGCCTGGTCGGCATGCAGAACGGCGTGTTCTACGGCCCGCAACCGGAAGACTTTGATGATCAACGTGCTTGGCCCCAGCCTGCTGACGAAGGACGTAATGGACTTCTCCAAGTACACGGTGGCCGACTGGCGTGGCAAGATTCAGTATGACCTCGCTGTCCTGGGCGCGGATCAGACGATGCAGGCCACGTACTCGCCCATGAACATGAACCGCGAGCCGGCTGACAATAAGTACCTCCCGTACCTGAACAACCTGAACAAGTGCGACCCCACCAACTCTGTGTGCGAGAGCGACAAGCTCCGCCGCAAGGCCAAATTCCTGCGCCTCAAGGCAGCCCACTACTTCGCCAGCACGAACGACGGCGTCGTGGCCCCGTGGCAGCACTCGCTGCTTCAACGCTACACGCCCGTGGACTCGATCGACAAATTTGAGGCCAAGTTCGAGGAGTTTACGGTCATGGAAATGGAGGACACCGCTGAGTACAAAGGGGACACGTTACGGCCTGCGCACCTTGGATGAGCGCGGTGGCCTGCACCGCACGACGGTGCCGAACGTCTCGCACAACTGCTGGATCGAAGACGGCGTACGCTTCGACGCCAATGTCGAGTGCGTCTGGGAGCCTATTTGGGACAACTGCCCTGCAGTGAGCCAGTAGAAGTTCGAGAGTAAGGAGGCAGTTTGGGATCAACTGGATGAAGAGCCACAAGATCTTGCCGTGTTTTCGAACTGCTATAGAGTAGATCCGCTGCAGCGGGGTCATCCAGGCTACATCGGTGTGGCTTGCGACGATTGGATTGTTAACGGGATCAAGCTCAGAGCTTTGCCTGCTTGGTCATAGTGGTGGACGCCTCATTGCGACAGGAAAGCCCATTCATTCAAAAATCTCTTTCGTACCAAAGCTTCATGAGAGCCAAAAATGCATCTAGCGGGGTTCCTGGCCATGACTGTGGCCACGTTGATCGTTAGCGTCGTAAATGTCGCTAGCGCCGAAGAAACTTCAACAGCGCCGTAAATTCAGCAAGAATCTAAGTTTCGTCATTATGCCAAGCTGCGGAGAGAGGGCTGCTCCTGTCAGTATATTTTGGTACGCTACGATGGCCATGAACCAGCCGGAGATCACACGCAACCGACGAAAATCAGCACGCCATCAGTACAGAATGTTGTAAACGCGGTGGACTACGCGACGGAGAACCGCCAAAGTGGGTTAAGGCCCTGGTGGAGCCTCTTAGTGTGGGTGCGTCTTTGCTGGTGTCACGATGCTGGAAAGCAGTAGAAAGGATGAGTCGAAATAATTGGGACAGCTCTCGCGCTGTTCGGCATCCTCAGCATAAGACGAAGAGCTTGAGCATCTAGGTAAATTGGCAGTATGAATGCATTATGCTGCTGTTGTACAAGGTGGCAAAACCTGGCGCATCTGCTGAAAGGTTTCTAGCACTGCATCGATATCGTCGTGCTCGGAGCACAAGGCTTCTACGGCTGCAGGAGTGACAGACACAGCGCTGTCCATGACTCTTTGGAGCTTCTCACGTTGCACCTGAGTGCAAGCCGTAGCAAAATAATACCCGACCATGTTCTGGACTTGGTCGCTGTTCATGTACCCGAGCATGAGCTTCTTGTTGACGCGTCCGGGTCTGATGAGCGCGGGGTCCAGCTTCTCCGGGTGGTTGGTGGTCATGATAATAATGCGGCCAGGACAGTCGATCACTCCGTCCAGCACGTTCAGCAGTCCCGACAGGTTCAGCTTGTCGGACGCCGAAGAGGACGAGGACAGCCGCTTGCGTTGTCGTCGCGAGGTCTCGGGCTTGTTCTCGCGAGCCATCACCACGGACGCGGCGCAGTCGATGTCCTCCATGACGAACACGACGTCTTCGAACGACATGTTGACCGGCAGGTCCACGCCTTCCACGGCGAAGCGGAGGTCGAACAGAGCGTCCATCAGCTCCTGGTTCGTCTTGACTTTGCCCAAGGAAATGGTCACGATGTGGCGCTTAGTGTACTGCGCCACCGCCTTGATGAGACTGGTCTTGCCGGTGCCAGGAGGTCCATGCAGCAACAAACCGAGTTTGTACGGGAAGCCCTTGATGGCGAACTTGCCGGAGCGAGTCATGAAGCTGTCGAGCAGCTGGAGCAGCTGCGGCTTCTCGTCGAAGAAGAGGTTCTTGAACGACTTCTCTCCGCTCAGGGCGTATCGCTTGTAGACCGCAGCGGAGGCAGTGGACTTCTCACCGTCCTCTTCTGTCTTGGACGACTTTGCTGCTTCCTGCACGGTCTGCACGTACATGTAGCGCTTGCTGTCGTTCGCCAGCTTCGTGAGCTCCAGCAGCTGGTACTTGGCGAAGGCATCGCTGATGAACTTGTCGATTCTCGCGGACGCGCCACGCTCCGAGGACTTGAAGACGTACACCATCGTGACTTCTTTGGTGTCCTTAACGACAGCGTCTCGGCCAGTATCTTCCCCGTTAGGCTGCTGGATGTACTGCTGGAAGAAGATGCCCTTCTCCACCTCGACCCACGTCTGGAACTTCGGGAGCGACGCAATCTTCATACGGTTGAGCTCCTCGTACATCTCGGCGTCGTCCTCGTCGTCAGTCCAGTAGTCGTCGGACGCTCGCTTGGGGGCCATGTTGAGCTCCTCTTGCGTCCCGTCGTCCAGCTCGCGCTGCACCATCTCGTAGCGGACGCCCTTGCCGCGCAGCTGGAGCACGTCCGCGAGGTGAGCAGCGATGGCCTTCTGCAGGATGTGGCCGAGACGGTTCTCGTACTGGTCCAGCACGTAGTACTTGTCGTAGCGCGTCACGGCCTTGATCTCTCGGAGGACAACGTCGCTGGTTTTGCCTCCAACCAGAGCGTCCTTCAGCTTCAGCCCCAGCGCCTCGAGGTGTGAAGGGTAGAGCACCAGCTGCACACAGAGGGGCACCAACGTGAGCAGGAGGGAGTTGAGGAAGACGTGGAGACCCGACGCAACGTCGTGATGCTCTCCAAAGTCCTCTGTGCTGTTGGAAGCAGCCTCGAAGAGCGGGTTGACCAGCGCTTGGACGATGGACGGGAAGGCCGCAGCAGGATCCATCGCGATACTGAGGGACGGATTGGCAAATTGAATTGTGAAGTGGATGTTAGCGGTAGTCGAGCTTTGTACGTACGTGGTCAAGATCTTCACTCACAAAGGTA